CAGATATAAGTGAGACGAGTAAACTGATGGCTACACATTATTAGTGGACCTGTTTGATCAACACAATTATTGATTGGTGCGATAGCTAGACTATAACCGCAATTTTCCACGGGAGTATGTCCATGCATAGGAACACACCGAGGTTACGCAGCCAATTCAACCTATCAGTGACTTCATGGAATCCAGAAAACGTCCAGGTGATAACACGATGTTAACTGCTGCTGTCGTGAATTCTCGGACCATCACTTCAGCAAACAGTCATGCTAACCTTTTGATCGTTTTGTCAAGTTTTGTGGAAGTTAAATTGCTGACAGAGTAGGAATTTGTTGGCGATGTAGAAGTGGATGTCAGTCTGCTTGATTTCATTGAGAGTGAAAAAAGTGGCTCACGGTTGGGTTCGCCGTGAAAAAACGACGTTGCAAGACTGGAAAAGAATGAGGAGTTGAACATTAATCTAATCAGCAGTTTACAGAGATAAAATTGTAAGCTCACAGATAAACACCTGCATTGCACGCAATTAGAATGAATTCTTCTGTGGAATGTTTTAGAACGACAATTATCTTCTCTATTCCTGATACCCAGCTCCCAGACACCATCGCCATCAATCTTGTCAGTTTTACCGCATCGTCTGGAAAGCGGACCATATCTCCACAGCAAGAGTAAACCCTTCTTACTAAGGATATTCCTCCAAAGTTCTCTGGGGTTTGACCCTCCTGACATGGATGCAGGATGGCAAATCTGTACCGTCGTAGGATGACATAATGCACTATGTACTGTTCACGAAATTGGAGGAGAGTACTTAGGGCTCACCTAAATTTCTAATTATCCATTGATCAGGCATGAACGATCACATCAAACCATTAAAGTGGTACGCAGTTCCGCCTGGGATATCCACATATGTGGCATTTCATGGCAAACTGCAGGTATCAGTGATCGCAATGCCGCTGGATATGCCAAACTTTACATCAAATGAGCGAGACCATTTGTGTACGGCAGAACACTGAACCCTAAAGTAGATGCTAGACAGTGGTCCATTTCTGGGCAACAACACCCAATGTTACCCAAACTACAGCGGGAATTTGGGGAGGCAGAATTTGGCACTTGTGTTCTGAATGAGTTCCAAGAACCGTTTGATGATATCAAGCATAGCACATTAGTTTGTCAAGGAAACTTCCGCTTTAAAGTTGGGGAATAATTAGCACGCCTAGTTCTTTGCAGATTATTAGTGCCTAAACTCAATGAAGGCAGTAAGTCAGCCCGCGACCTCAAACCAGTACCATCTCCACTTGCGTCGCTTTCTTCCACAGCATCTAGACAACTATTCCAACTATTTTCGATCTATTACAACCATTGCTTTCGTTGACCTAGTTAATCGATGTTTTATGTAAGAATTTATTTAACTTAACGAATCTGTATCAATGCTCTGCTTTGAGACGTTCACCCCTCGTTTTGGCATCGTCCGTTTTCTAGTACCAGCAGTCACATTCTTTGCTCCTAGCCTTCATTTTTTCCAGCCAGTTTGAGGAAAATACCTACGATGCAACCACCTTAACTGTGTGGTGGCGTTTGTAGACGACGTGATCTGCCAATAGGAAACTATCCCCCTGAATGTTGCAGTTCAGTCACCAAAGGTACCTAAGAACTTAGAGTCCCCATGTACGCATGGTATGAGAGTATGGATTTACTTGAGCAAACCGGAATAGGCCCATTCAATTAGCAGTGCATTAGTGAACCCTTCGTGAATACGATTGCCGTTTAAAACCAATGAAATCGAATTGACTGCCAACCGACCGAATGACTCCTGGAGAAGTCTCAGGTTTTTGGGACTTGAAACCGTGGGTTCTAACCAGTACTAGGCATAGTTCTTTTTTGTCATAAAACTCAGTTTTAGGGTAGGTTATTTTGTTCCAGTTGAGTTAGAAAATCGTATTGGAGGGAACCTGCGGAATAAATTACTCATGAGTAGACAAAAATAACAGATAAAAACAATGCTGGTTGGTGTTCATTCGTTTCTCGAGAATGAAGCAACTCGCGTTCCGTAGAGCGCTTTAAGATGGCCAGGAGACTTGGAGGATGTATACAGTATATAAAAAAGTATATACACCCCAAGTAATCAGCTATTGAGGAACTCCCCAGTACAAAGTGGTGTAGTAGTTAAGAAAAAGCCGACTCAGTACTTCTCGTTTCGTCAATAATTACAATCGCCCCGAGAGGAAAATGGAGGCAAATAAAACGTGAACCTGGACACTGAAAACTCCTTGTATAAAAATAACATGGGTTCTCCGTAACCCGGGCATCCGCCTACAGATGAAAGCATTCAAATGTGAATAGAGCTCGGAGATGTCACCTGCTCGCAATATTCCCCCATCGTATTATTTGTACAATATGAAGTGCTCTTTCGGCTTGCTGATGGATCGTGTGAGTACGTACAGCGCGTTCATGGGTCTCGTTAACAGCCTATTACATAAACCTCTTTGCGAGCATTCTTTTTAGTGGTTATTGTTAACCATTTGGAGCCGCATAGAATAAAAATGTTCATGCTGAGGCCAGTGAAAAGCAGGAAAACGATAAACGTTGCTATCGCACATGTTTATTTAAAAGAAACGCGGATGGAGCCAACGACAAAACGGCAGCTTATGTATAATGGAAAGATTGGGAAAGACCGTAGATAAAGAAAACAGAGATGGCAGTTACATAGCTTATCACAGAAATGTGAGTAGGTTAAAAATGCCAAAACTACTCGTCTGAAGTCCTTCAACAGACAGAATAGAGCTAATTTTGCATTACCCTCTCCGATTATGGACCAGATTTGTGAACACACTGGGTGAGTAAAGTTGACGGACGCAGTAGTTGTTCTTTGTTTAATCAGAGTGGACAAAAACATACACTTTTGGTTAGGAGCAAGAAATAAAGTGATCATGGTTATTGGAGAAAATCAAACTGGGTACAGGATATGAACATTTTGGAGTCATAACGTAGGATGCAGCGTAGAAACCAATCGCAAATATCCACAAATGTGCAAAAATAAGAATGTTTATGCAGTGAGTAATCGTATGGGTTGAGGTGACTGCATTTAGGAGTGAATCACCTTGTTGAATCAGATTCATTGGGTGATGTTTCTTCTTAACGACTGGTGAAACGAGAAAGCTCTAGTTCGCAATATTAATCCAAGGATTGATCCGGTAACATATCGTTTTGCGAGCTATCGGTTTAGTGTCGCTAGTTTGTAGTCTTAACATCAGAGCGACTAGAATGTCTCACTGTAGTTGATCCTGACCGCGGAACATCCTACCGGTTAATCATCAGTATGACATAGGAAGTATCAGTTGTCATAGGTCGTTCGATAGAGAACTTCAATTCCCTCAAGCAAGCTTTTTACAGTGGTGGACTGTAGTGGTCACAGTGTTGCTTGAAAGTATCCTTCACACAAATCTTACGCCAGGATTTTATATTTCAAGGCTTTACTCGCACAGAGCTCAGTTATCCAACAAAGCAATTCACTATTCTTTCGTCCCAAACGAATTTCTAACTCATCGTCTGAATCACATTAATTTCTTCTGATTGATGTTATATCAGTTCACGTTAAATAGGCAGGTACCATGCCAGTCGCACGATTGGAACATGTGTTGAAAAGTACTGTTAAAGTTTCAACGAAAACGTTTTATTCTGTCTTGCACATAAGACCAAACTACCCAGCGATCCATTCTGACAAATCCAATGTTAACTGGTACATTCTCTTGGTGGCTGAATGCTTTAGAGGAGTACACAAAGCTGCTTCCTCTTTGGAACTGACCGACTGATTTAGGTTTACGAGTTCAAAATGAACTTCACCACAACAACGGTTAGCATGGCGTGAAAAATAATACCTATTTGGTGGTTACTTAAAACTCAGAACAAATTAACTCTATCTCTCAGCTTAGGCACTTAAAATGGCCTCACATATTAGTTTGCGCAGTCCGCCGACATGAACGGTGATCCCTCATCTTTTTGGAGCTTGACTTCAACATAACGGGCGACAAAAAGGCTATAGCTGTAAAGGAGTTGCCATTATTGGAGGGTGTTGCATTTGCATGCAGCATACATTCGGATAAATATATTCGCTTTTTGTAGAAAACAAGATGGCTATTCCCACTTCTGAATCCAGTAATCACGAAGGTTTGCTTGATTTCCAAATACTCTCATGGTGCGTTCAGGACAAACGGGTGAGAAAGTCACCATCTTTTCAAATACAAATCCCCTCAGCATTTTAGCTGAATGCGATGCTCTGCAATCGAAGTGCGTTCCCAATTTTCGTTGATGTTATCCCATTTTCCTACTCAGAATCATCGATATGTCGGAAATATGCATCAACTGCAGCACGGACTAATGCGCAACTGACAGTAACACAAAAAATCTATCAAAAGCAACAGAGAAAGCACCGTTTGCCTAGATGCCCAAGCAAATAAGAAACCACATTTTGTGAAGCACAGGGAAACAGTTGAGGTCTCTGTTGCACCAAGCACATAACCCACCGTGTCAACAGAATCAACCATGCCAGGGACTTGATGTAGCAGGCACTTCGTATGCATTACATTCATCGTCTACAGAATGTCTCATAATGGACGCAATAAATAAATCCAAGTTAAACTTTGACATTAAACGAAACTTTCATTTATTTTCTACATAAACATACCTACATTATGAAGGTTTAGTGCCAATAAACCAGTATTTGTAAATACTGAAAAACTGCCCCTTTTTATAACAAGTTGGAGGCAGTATGAGATGTGAGACACGGCATGTTTGACATTTTCAAGCATCACTCGTGCGCAGTCCTCTTCAATTCTTGCTCTTGACTCCACTAAATTCTTTGATTTATTTTCGTGATATACGCGAGCCTTGATCATCCCCTGAAACCAATAATCCAAAGGTGTGAGATCGGGTGACTTTGCGGGCCAAAAGTTTGGAAATCCACTAGCAGTGACTCTGTCATTAGAAAATTGCTCTCGGAGGTAAGTTCTCACTTGGTTTGAGTAGTGGGATGCAGCGCCATGCGGTTGAAAGACGGTGGATAACTTCTTGTGTTGCTTGAGTTGCGGGATAAAATGCGTCTGCAGCGTATGGGGGTAACTGTCACCGGAAACTGTAGCATCAAAGAAAAAGGGACGCAGGAGACACTGAGGAGAATCCCATCCACACACAGAGATGAGCGGAATGGAGATTATGGGTGAGGTACTCGTGAGGAGCTTCACGGGACCACATCACGCAGTTTTGCTTGTTGATTATGCCATCCACAGAAAAAATTGCTTCATTGCTCCATGAAATGTTGGGAACGATTTCTTCATTGTCCAGCAGCCAGTTAGCGAACGTGACATGTCGCTCCTTGTCTTCTTCCGTGATGTTTTTGTAATAAAGTGAAAGGATACGGGTAGAGATGAGGGTGGCGTCTCTCATAATAAGTGCACGCTGGTGCGGATAATGCCGGTCAAATGAGACACCTGAGTTATTGACGAAGATGCCATGGTGCTCTGGGAGTGAATTTAATCGACGGCATTCCGTATAATGGGCGATCTTTCATCCCTCAGAGACTTTCTCCCTTTGCCAGGAAAATCCAATACAGATCCAGTGAACTCAAATTTCGCAATCAAGCGTGTAATGGCCGACACGGTGAAAGGATCTTTGATGAGAACATGTTGGGTATTGTAACCACGAAGTGCAGCGGTGGCGCTTTCACCAAGAGAATAATAGAGTTTCACAATTTCAATGCGCGTACTGCTATCCATCGTAATTAAAAAACAATAACATTTGCATACAAAACCTCTTTTATGTGGCTACTAATATTAAAAAAGTCTATTATCTTTATTTCAATTAATTACGTATATTTACCCAATTAAATTTTGCGTTTATTATGAGACAACCTGTACATTCAGTAGTTGTAGACGAGATGCTATGTTCAGTGATAAAAGGACAACCTCGGTATCTCCCAGCGACACACTAGAATGAACATTCCAGTCGTCAATTGAATGTCAAATACCCTCACCCGTGGTATGATTCTGTCACTGAGGCGCTCCTAGTCAGGATACTCTTGATGATCCCAGCCTTTCTAATTGGTCTGTATTCAACCCTCAGATTGGTAAAGTTTTGCTTTTCCTACTCACCAACAACCTTTGTTTTCTTTGCACCGAGAGCAGACAAACTGCCGTTTACTTTTTTGCTTAACTAGTGCTGCTGACTTTAGTCTATTCTAACACGAGGTTTTGTTTCAGAGCAGCAACCAGATTCCGAAGAGATCAGACTTATCCCTTCGATAGTACCTTTCTTGTATTTGCTTTACACTAGAAAAGTGGTATTCAACTGATGTTGTCAGAGTCGCTGACGGTTAGCCAGCTCGGCAGCCTCGACGTTCTGCGCATTAATTTGACACGCCTACTGCATATGTATCTCGCCGACTGGTTTGGTTCCCTCTTGATGACACTTGTGAATGTTAGGACTGAAGAGAATTAGATTGATCGCCGAATGAATCCTAACATCGTTCACATCTTTCCCTTCACCTTATGCCTTAAGCAAACCAGTGGTTTGGTCTGTTTGGGTCAGCAAGTCTTCCCTTGATCGCTTGCAAAAGTATTCAGGATAAATGTTTCGTAAATAACATATTGTCAGCGGCATATCTTGTGGACAGTTGCTTGACCGAATGCAGTAACGGCGATGCCTCGAATGGTCTTGGGTTCCAAATCACCGGTTGAATACGGATGCATGACAAATAATCCAATTTATCTCAATACTTTGGGTCTGTAGGTTTTTGGACCGCTTTTCATCTGTTTGTTGATACATGGTGCCACTCTTCCCATTCATCAAGGATAGGAAAAGAAACCAGAGAAGCCAATAAATCGAATGCTACGGATCGGAGTGTCGCGAAACTTCGTAGCTGTAAAAGTTAGAGGTGTGGAATTTATACCTTAGTGACAAAGTTTGTCATCTTTAATGAAAGTGGTCGGGCGGTCAATCCAGGGCAGCAGTTCACCATCAACGGAAAATCATACTGGTAATCGGTTTGCACAAACAAGTTGGCTTAATCCCAAATGAGATTTTGGTCAGTTTTTTCAGCTGGATACATTTAGCGGTCGGAAGATTCAGATGAAGCGAACAGTCTGTTTCCATCTTCGGGTGCCTGTTTAAAATATCAAACACTAGTCTATGCAATGTTGGGAGAATAGGCGATAAAACTAGGTTCCTAACCTTCGTGAACTTTCAGTCGAACCATTTGGCACTAGACATAAGAGTAGTCAAAGGTAAGAAACGCAGATGGGTGACACCATGAGGATCAGAGAAAGCGTTCGTGGGTCTCGAATTAAAAAAAGCATGTTTTCATAACAGCGATTTCCGGAAGTTCTTTTGTATGCTGTCTCATTTCGTATGACATCTCAGAGAGATATGATGAATAACCTTTTATATGGTAAGCCTGGGTCCCTGTGAGAAACAGAATGTCTCAAGTTTTGTTTGAAGCGGAGAATATCAGCTTGGCAAAATGCAGCACGGACTTACCACTCAGGGTTCTCATGACAAATCCGGAGCACAAGTGATTAATTCGGAGATGATGGTTACGCAACAAACAAGTATGGAAGGTGGTGCTAGTCTGGAATTTTCTTTGGAGTTGAAGGATTTTACGGGCCAAATCTTATTCGAAATGGTTTGAACGATGAGTTATAAACAAGGGGCTTACACACACAATCCAAGATAAACCGTCTAGTTGTGATAGATAAACAGGTCTTCCCTGACCCCGAGACATCTGTCGTATGTTGTTCATCCGTTCATTTGGCACTTACACTCCAGATTCGAACAATGCACTATGGATGTTACATCATGAGAAGCTTTATTCTTGAGAGAAATAACAACCCAAGATAAATCATCCTGGTAAACCATCTCGGCTTAGGATAACATCAGTCGACTTGTGATACACAATAATCGTTTCCAGCATTCGGGAAGGCATCTAACCGCGTGGTATTCCAATGACTTCCAAAACGGCTTCACAAATAAACTGCACCCCGGTGGCACCTTGATCGGCTGTCAATGTGTCGGCCATCCGATCAACCAACAACTACATAGTGGACGTCGTCCGTTGAAGACTACAAGTCCCAGTTTGGAACAGAAACCGAGAATAAATGAGGTTCAGACTACAGGCCTTCACTCGCCGTAAGTGATTCGCGGACCCTGACGCTGCACCCTGGCGGTCAGCGGTAGACTTGAACACTTGTCAGATCCATGAACGCAGACACTTCAGGCTTGTTGTTTAGCTTAGCCCACCCTTGCGCAAACAGTACCACAGACTGTCAAATTTAATTCTTACTTTCGATATTCTGTATCGTCAACCTTACGCGTGACTTTACGCGCCGTCACCAGTGAGCATTCAACAAAACTGCATGAATGTGCGCATCACACATAATATTAATCACCTGAATTTTGGAATCAGCGTTTCAAGAAACATGTAGCTGGGTGTTGCATATTTTTACAAATTGGTGCTCACCACAGAGAAAGTCGTGGGTGGCTTATCCGCATAAGATGTTCCCCGTTGGTGTGGTAATAAAATAGCATGCATATATATACCACTTGTAGAGAGGATTTATCAGCGATTTCTTGAAGTCTTGCGGAATTTCCATCGTCTCACAAATTATGCGTAAGGGCTAGAAAGGTTCGTTCTTCAATGGCGATCCTCCAGATTCACCAGTTCCGCAAGCAAGTGGTCCAATTTTTTTACTAGATTTCCACTTTGTAGTTGGCTTGTCAGTATCAGCTATAGGTAGGTCAACCAAGTAGATCTTCATTTTAGGTTGTCTTGTGCGGGCTGTATAGCTCTAACCTTCTGGATGATTATGTGTTGGAAAGTGGTGTTTCCAAGTCGACGAAATTCTGTCATGTTTGTTAAATTTGCGGCCAGTTTGCTCGCTTTCTATCATCTGGAGAGAATAACCTTCAGTCCATAGATTAGTCTTTATCCAGAGTAAGCTTTGTTGACGGCTTCAAGCAGCACACATTTGTGGCCATTCACATCCTTCGCTTTCCGCACGTGTTTCGACAGGTTGGATTTGGTGTCCCCCAGTTGCTTTCGGGCCGCCATATTCATCGGGCCTCAGATCGTTTTGACAAAATTCAGATGCTTCTCCTTAACCAAGGTGTATATAAACGAGCCTATCTCACCACAATATTGCCCACCCTTTCTTGCCTTATTCAGATTGTGTTCACAGTATTTGTTCGGATGTATGTTCCTATTCGAGCTAGCTAACTCTCCGGCACATTTCTCACTCGGTGAGCCACTAGCATTTGTGTTCTAGGTTCGCGAAATCTCTATGCTGCTTCCTGACTCTTAATTTCTTTTACATTCAACTTGAGTAGACTCCTTCTTGGTTCATGACTCATCAGATTTCTGAGTACGGCACGTACATTGGCACGAACTGTACTGCAGTTAGTTTGACGCACCACTTTATCATAAGTATATTAGAGATCTCTGCTAGCCGCAGAACAAATAGTCTACTAGGTCTTCGTGTCCACCTTTTGGAAGAGTCCGGGTGACAAGCGATGCCCGTCCCATAGTGAATCACGAATTTGGTAGTGAGAGTATGAATGATACATTATCAATGTTCGTTGATTCTCATCCACAACAGTTCTCACCTTCCAGACTCTCAGTTTTTGAAGTCGCGTTTGCCTTCTACGGTCTTTGCAATATGTTGAAAATAGGGAGTACGTTTGGGAATCCCGCCCCAAGCTTTCGACCGCAAAGTTTGATTCACAAGGTGGTGGGGAATTTAACCGATTCCAGGACACAAGAAGTAAGGCATGCAGTCGACGTAAGCCTCCAGACTTCCAGAGTGTGCAGCATCAAGGACTAACATTTTCCCGCCTATCCTTCCTCGACAGAAATCTGAATGACTTCTTCATAATTATGGAGATGGTTGTCCCCTAAGCGAAACACCACAGCCCCTTTGCATCCCTGACAAAACGACGTCATAAATCTCCTCGCTAAAAAACGTGTGACACATGGACTCGCCGCTCTTCATGGGGCCTCTTCCTTCTGGCTTCTCTTATGTAGCTACACTGTCACAAACTGGTTTCCACTCAGCTTGTCCCAAACAATCACTATATCACCCCAAG